GTTCAGAACTAAGAGATGACATTTATAGCATTTCAGTCTGATCGGCAGTGCTATCATTTGCTTGGCAGTCGAACTGTGAGCTCCGTTCCGTTCCATTCCGTTCCGTTCCGTTCCGTTCCGTTCCATTGCATTCAATTCCGTTCCATTCCGTTCCGTTCCACGGGGTGTTAGCGTTTATTTGCAAATTGTCATCAACTTCTGTATTTTATTTTCAATTATCCTTTGTTTTTATAAGCCTGAATTCTTAAGTTAGTTCGCTCGATTGACAATTAATTTAAAAAATGAGATAATGATAATTTTACACTGCTGGTGGTTGTTGTAAGCCATATGCCTACCGCTTCACTAATTTATGTTCTGAGACTTCACTAGTGTGTATTTTTGGTGTGTATTTTTGGTGTGTATTTTTGGTGTGTATTTTTGGTGTGTATTTTTGGTGTGTATTTTTGGTGTGTATTTTTGGTGTGTATTTTTGGTGAGTTTTGGTTGCTGTTTTTTCCCCCAATCGGAATTTTTCCTTTAAAATGAACTTAGCCAGTAGCTAATCAGAGCGCACGATTGCTCATATCCAGTGGTTGGTTGTCTCATTTACAGTTAATAAAGAGAGGTTGTCTATATATAAAAAATATAGACTACTAGCTCATACATCAGTAACGTAAATTGAGATCTAGTGTTTGTTCTTAAACAATGGAATCTGAATGAATGTACCAACGAAGTAATAAAGTTGAGAAAGAGAGTGTTTTAAAAGTGAGGAAATGCATTCAAAGTTAATGGATCATCTAGAGCTTTTCTATAAAAGTATGCGCAACAGCTAATTTGTCGCGCCACATCATTGGAAGAAATCGCTTAGTTCAAGTTATTAACCAATGAGAGGTAGATGCTTCCACGCCTGAAAATTTGCACGGGCCTCAAAAACGAGACTTCGTTTGAAGATACATTTGCACTAAAAACCGGTTTAAAAGGCTTTTCAAATCCAGTCCAAAACCTTGCACACTACCATTCATAGTGTGTAATCTTTGAAAATTTGTTTAGAACAAAGGAATTGACGCACTTCCTCCTCTATGTTTGCCTACTTCTTTGGCAAACAGCGATAATAATAATCCAAAATTCATTTTCTTCACATAATTCTGACCTTACCGATACTGATTACGTGTTTGAAAAGTCATACAAATTTTCGTTAAATTAATGGTTTTAGAGTCGTACCTACATTTCCGTAAAGTAAGTCAGAAACTATAGGAAAACCTACATAGGCGCGAGCGAAAAGAAACGTAATATTGTTGTGAATTTTTAAATTATTTTTTGACCTTGAATTCAAAATAAGAATGACATTTTTTTTACGATTGTATTTTGTCACTTTTCATCTAAATTAGGCTTGTGACTGTTGTGACGTCAGAACTTCGAGTGCTTTTGCAAACTTGTCAAATGCTTACTGATTTACTTATTTTTGTATTGGTTCTTGTTCGTTCTTGTTGTTGTTTTAATTTGATTATACGTTAGCTAATAATGTTCTGAACCTTAGAAATTTGTTAAGTCATCATGCTGATCGATGTTTTTAAATTTCCATTATATATTTTTATAAACACTTAGGAAAAAAAGTGTGGTTAATTATTAAGTTTTACTAGATAATTTGTAGTTCTTCAGAAACTTAGGCAATAAACAAATAAAAAACGTTTTCCGTATAAACATAGCCAATAAACCCTAAGGATGTTTGGGAGGATTGGAGAGCATGTGTGTGAAACTGATAGAGCAGTATTATTGCATTATTATTTGTCTGCCTTTCCTCTTCGAAAGCCCCATTAGAGCTATTACGAAGTCTGAAGGCAATTTCTTCTTTTTTGCTGGGATACCTGTGGTATACCACCTATAAAATGCCTTTGTTTTTCTGTTGTTTTTTTTTTCTCCGCGACAAAATGGCAAAGTTGCGCAATAGTACCCATAGATGGATTTAAATGACGTAAACCATTACCCAGAAGACCTTTGCGGGTTTCTGCTATAGGTTTACCGTCTATGTGCTGACTAATTAGCATCTGCCTTGCTGTTAATCAATGTCAATATTTTGCGAAGTGATTAGGAGGGGGCGGAGCTAGATTATCACGTAAAAAACTTTAAAACTAAAGCAACCGTGAGGAAAATATTTGATTTTTACCGTCTTAAGTAAAGAATTTCGCTTCACAAATAACGAGTTAGAAAATTCCCGTGTGAGACACTCTTTGCAAAGCGCGTGACCACAGGCACGACTTAATTACGTATGCTAAAAATAGGAATGGAATGGACATGATGGAACTGGAATTTGGACTGATTTTTATCCATACCTTTAATTCTTGGCATACACTTTTTATCCAAAATGATTTTCACTACTTTGATCTCTTTGAAGCTTTAATTTAAAAATATTTTCACTTTATTATTCTTCGGATCCATGTCGGAACAGCAGCATTTCTGAACAGACCCATATTTCATCTAGAAGAAATACCTAACTTCCTGTGAATAAATTTGTTGTTCTAGTGATCCTATGGTTTAAAACAAACAGTCTACACACACTCTACCTCTGGCAAAAAATGCCAGGTTAAGACCCCATCATCCCTCCACTTCCCACGACCCCGCACCCGTCTTAGCGTCTTTTTTACTGGGATAACTGTGGTTTACCAGTAAGTTGTAAAACACGTCTGTTATTTTCTGATTCCTGCTGGTTCCCGTCCGACAAAATAAACAAGTTGCGCAATAATTCATTACGTCAACATTGCGCCCTCGACACCATGACGAGCAACTATCCAATCAGTGCAAAGGTGCTGTTCACATGTTATCTTGATTTGGAAGCTCAACCAACTAAATACTCCATGCATGTTGAAACCAGGTCCTCCAGGTCCTCCCAGGTATCCCAGCTTACCCTGGAACCAGGGTCTAGTTTAATCGAAAATTTCTTTTCTTTTCTTTTTGTAATTGAATTTTTAAACTCCTCTCAGCTTTTAACAATACTTAAAGTGCCTATTCACCCTAGCTTTTGACAATACTTACAATATTGATTCTACATGAGGTGAAATGTTGAATAATCCGAAGAAAAAAAAAGTTTGAGTGCGGCTTCTTGAAGTTTTAAAGGTTTTTCCATGCCATATGCTAATGCTGTGATACATGAGGAGTAATCATTTAATTTACAAAACATTACTGGCACAGATAGTTAAATTTGAAATACGTCATTGTCCATTGCGGCTGTTATAAAAATTATTGCAAGTTAGCTTTCACATGTTAGCCGGTGTTTGAATTACAAGGAACAATTCAATTCAATTTCAATTCAATTTCAGTTTATTTACACTGTTTTTTCAATTTTCGATTTACTCACGAAGCATGGTAATACACAGTTTTTTTATTCAAACGTGGGACGTTTGTCACAACTGTGTATTACCCTGCTTCGGGAGTAAATCGGAAAGCGGCCAAGCGAGATCAGACCGTGCATATATATATTCTGCTCTACTTCTATCGATGTATTGAGCACTATTTTACGGAAAATTGATTCACAGATTTCTTATTTAGCTCCATATTACTTTTGTCGAGCACTCTACGATTATCCACAATGGAAAAATTCAAAGTCACCTACTCCACAAAAAATATTCCCCTACCATCACAAAACGACTATCTACAACGGCTCATCGAAAAACCGAACAATTTCTACGTAGAATTGAATGCGCTGGAAAGCTCACTTCTTCCTCAATCCCAGCACAGCCACCTCTTCCAAAGATACATACGGCTTCAAGTCAACCAAGAATCCACCACCGATCGATGAACTAAAGGACTTTGAAACCGACATGCTTAAGATGATACAATCGACCAAATTCAAACAAGTCAATATCCCTTTCCTCAACAAACTTAAAGACGACACCGAAAAGATCAAGAAAGAACCGAAACTGCTCATCGCCGCTGATAAGACAACGAACTTCTATAAACTGGAACCATCAACATACAACGATCTACTAGAACAGAACATCACAAAATCTTACAAAAAAGCACAACCTAACACCACACGAGCCATGCACGCAGAAAACAAAAATATCGCAACAAAACTGGGCATAGACGACAGAGTAGACACTACAGCTAACAAAGACGCATTCATAACACTTAAAGACCACAAGCCGAACTTCGCTAATAAACCGGCCTGCCGTCTAATCAATCCTACTAAATCCGAGATAGGCGAAATCAGCAAAAAAATCCTCGACAGAATCAACAACAAAATCACGACAGCATCGAAATTCAATCAATGGAAAAACACTGCCTCCGTGATCGAGTGGTTCAAATCCATCAAAAACAAGCAACACAGTTTTATTTGCTTTGACATCGTTGAATTCTACCCATCAATCAGCCATGACCTCCTTAACAGAGCGCTTGACTTCGCCTCAACATACGACAATATCACCAACGACGAACGAAACATCATAATTCATGCTAAGAAATCAATCCTCATACACAAGCAGCAACAATGGCAGAAGAAAGGAGACACAACATTTGCCGCGTTACAATGGGCAGCTATGACGGCGCTGAAACATGCGAGTTAGTAGGAAGTTTTCTTCTTTCTCATCTACAGAACCTTAACATCAACGTAGGACTGTACCGAGACGACGGACTAGCCATTTCTAACGCCACACCGAGAGAAACTGAAAATATTAAGAAAGACATTTGCCGAATCTTCAACAACAATGAACTACGCATCACCATCGAAGCCAACAAGCAGATCGTCAACTTCCTAGACCCTACTTACAACCTAAACCAAAATACCTACCAGCCCTACATAAAGCCTAACACCACACTGCAGTACGTCCACCGTGAGAGCAACCATCCACCAATCACTACCAGCAACATACCTGCCGGCATCAACAGACGACTGTCATCCCTTTCATCCGATAAAGCATCCTTCGACCAAGCTGCCCCTCCATATCAAAAAGCACTTGACGAAAGCGGATACCAGTACACCCTACACTACGAATCAATCGCAACCACAAAACGCAAAAACAGATAACGAAACGGCATACTCTGGTACAGCCCCCCATTTAGCAAAAATGTCAGCACCAATATCGGACAGAGATTCCTTGGCCTAGTTGATAAACACTTTCCTAGAGGCCATAATCTTAGGAAAGTCTTTAATCGCAACACTATCAAGATCAGTTACAGCTGCATGAACAATGCCAAACAAATCATTGACAATCACAACAAGCGCATTTTACATTCACCGAGAGACGACAACGACACCGCAAACAACACAAAGGACAAGAATACATGCAACTGCCGACAAAAGAACAATTGCCCGCTTAATGGAAACTGCCTCCAATCATCAGTTGTATACCAAGCTACCGTCACAAGAAAGGACAAAAACACTACCGCAACATACATAGGAGTCACAGAAAACGACTTCAAAACAAGATACAGAAACCACACCGCCTCATTCCGCCACGAACAACATAAAAACTCGACTGAACTCAGCAAATACATCTGGACTCTCAAGAACAGTAATATCAGCTACTCCATTTTATGGCGCGTCCTATCTTCAAGCTCCGCCTACAACAGCTCCAGAAAGAGATGTAACCTCTGTCTTAAAGAAAAGTTTCTAATAATCTATCGACCGGAACTCTCATCATTAAATAAGCGAAACGAACTTGTATCTTCATGCCGCCACAGAAACAAAGCATTACTACGCAACAGCTAAACTACATCCACTAATTAATTATGTATACGTTTTCTATGTAAATGATAGTAACGAATATTCTTATCATTAAATCCCCTGAAGAGTG